TATCATGTTAGTACATGTATATGTGAAGTTTGAGCTGAAGTTATGTGTTTAGAGCCTTTGAATACCAAGTTGAAGCTCAAGAACATGTTCTGGAAAACCCAGAAAATTTGATGTCTGCTCGAGCGGGAAAACCGCTGCTCGAGCGTGAATTTCGTGCTCCCTGTGGATGTCTGCTCGAGCGGGGAAGTTCACACTCGAACGGGGAGCTATGTAGACAAACCTTCAGCTCGAGCGCCAGATTTCACGCTCGAGCGTAATTTTGATGCATCCAGCACTTTTGTAGACCTCATGGGTCCACTCAAGCGGGGAAGTCCACGCTCGAGCGGAGACCCTGTTTTCTGAAATTTTGAAAAGGCATTCTGAGTTTTGTTTTCCGTCCTCTTTCACTTCTAAGTACTCTTAGGCATGCATTGAGCATTGTAATTGAGTTAAAGAGATAAGAATGAAGCCTAAAAAGGAAAATGTGAATTTGGAACGGATTGAATTGTTTGTGACCCTTTTGTGTTCATGGAATGTGTAGGGTCGAGCTCCACGGCAAACCAACCAACCGATCACTGTTAGTAATATCTTAACAAAGATATCTAAAATATGTTGTTGTCCAAATTACTTACTTCTATGTAAGTTTTATAAGTTCGTTGATTCGATTGGTGGACAATGTTACTATGCCAAATGAATGGGCCAGAGGCCAGTTGGATCTGAATAATAGAGTGAATGGGCCAGAGGCCGTTTTGACAAGAATGAATGGATGGGCCAGAGGCCGTTTTGACATGAATGAATGGGCCAAAGGCCGTTTTGACACGAATGAATGAATGGGCCAGAGGCCGTTTCGACATGAATAAATGAATGGGCCAAAGGCCAGTTTGATACAAATAAATGAATGGGCCAAAGGCCAGTTTGACATAAATGAAAATATGAACTGGGCCCAAGGCCGTTTGAAGCATATTGTTCTACATACTATTTGTATAACCCCTTTATTTGATATTATTCACTGGGCCTTCGCTCACGCTCATTCATGTGTTTGTAGGTGAGCCAAGAGAAGTCCAAACCCAACCCCAGTGAAGTCTGTGAGGAACAAGAAAGGTTTTGAAGAGTCAGCCCTTGCGTCTCACGCACGAGACCTGTCTTCGCCTTTTTGTTATTCTGTTTTATTTTGTCATGCGGGCGAAGTCTTTGAATATGTTGTATATAGTTTTCGTGGGTTGACTTAGACTTATATGATCCTGTATGTACAGAACCTTGTGTAGTACATATTTTGTTGTGAGTTATTAATATGCATATGTATGGTTTGTTATGATGTGTCATGTATGCACAGCTCTATGGACAAAGTTTTAAACTGCTTCCGTTCAGCCCCCCATTAACTCTGTTAACATACATTTGGTCTGGTTTGAGGCCGTAGGTAATCTCATGATTACTGGCCGGTTATGTCCTCAACCCATGGGGGCGGGTTTGGGGTCGTGACAGAATCAGAATATAGATCGAAACAGAGGTGATTTCTTTGGAAACGATGGGAGATTCAGGGAAAATCTTTTTGTTTGTTTCGATTTCCAAATCGCAAATTGCCTCAGAATGGTTTCCAAATCGCCTCAGAATAGTTTCTAAATCAGAACAATTGAGAAGGAGCATGTGTGTCACGCGCACAGGGGAGAGCTCGTGATATCTTCTTTGCTTCACGCGTGTGGTGTGACATTGAGGGGTAAAATTGGAAACTGAAATAGGACAAGACTTGTTGAGTATTAATTTGTTTCCATAGGACCGGCTGGTAAGCCTCCTATTTATTTTTGTTAAGGGTGATCAAACTTTACTTTTTCAGGTCTGTAACCATATTAATGGAACTCATTATTTGAGGGGTCCCTTAATTATTGTTGCTTATAGTAAGTTCATGGATGCATAATATCTATAACATTTAGGCCAAGTTTGGATAACCTAAAAAAATGCATTTATTTCATCTTTTTATCTTTTTTGGGTCACATCAATCAACATCTCCTCTCTACTTTTTCTACACATAATACAAAAAAAGTCAAAAAATGCACTTATTTAGTCTTCCCAAACTTTGCCTTATTCTTCTATTATTTAAAAATTTTAATTGAGATCTAGTAGTTATGTAAATATCTAAAATTTCAATATATCTAACAAATTGTTATGCTTCAAATGAAATTTGAATAATTTATTACTAGAATTAATTTCATTTTATGTATTATAAAAAATTAAATTATTCAAATTTAGCTTGTGATTATTTTGATTAAAAAACATATGAGATCCAGTCAATACCAATCTCACTAACATTTTGACAACTTTTTTGATAAACAAGTTAAAAATCACTTTTTATCAATTTTATTTTATTTTTTTTAAACTGATAATTTTTTTTGTTATTTTAATTTTGATTTATCGTTATTTTATATTGAAAAATACAAAATGAAAAACAAAGTACGCCAAGGTACAACATTTTATTTTATTTGGTGAGGCATTTATACAACCAAATTGACCTTACCCTTTCAGGTCTTTAACCGTATTAATGGAATTCTAGCTGAGCGGTCCTTAATTTTTGTTGCTTATAGCATAACAAAAAAACTAGGGTCCAGAATTCACTCACAATGAGTACGTGTGGTGGAGATTATATTAATAAATTATAAGATTTATGAGTGAAATGAATTTGAACAATTGATCCGAATCGTTCAATATGTAGAGTTTGTCGAGTATTTCATGCCTGCAAAAAATCACATTGATTGGATATCAGTAGCCACTTGATCGGAACACATTTTTGTTAACAATATATTTTTAAAATCATATTTGTCATTGACAAAAATATGTTTTGATCAAGGGACTACAGATATTCGATCAACATAATTTTTTTTTCAGACATAAAGTACTCGAAGAACTTTACACATTGAACGGTTCAGATCATTGAAACGAGACCTTTAGTAAGTCCCACAAGCCCAACAGTACGATTCAGTCCACACAATGCACTGGAGAGAAGCCTCTCAATCCTTGATAAATTTTGAGTTAATAATTCTGGATTTATAGTCTTTTTGGTAGCAAAACAATCTATGGAAATTTATGTGGGAGTATGTAACCATATGCTCTCAGTTAATTATGATTAATTGTTTTGGCAATATTTTTGTTATGATGAAAAAAAAGTTTTTAGTTATACGTTATATTGTGTTTAATTACATCTCTTTTTTTAGTTGTAACTTATAAAGAATTTGAATATGACAGTTGCAATAATCAATCATACAAATGTCATAACTTGTACTATAACATGACCGTCTATGAGAATCAAGATCTTTTGTTCTTTTTTATACTGCTTTCTTTGTTCACTTACATTTTATTGGTTTATGCAATTGTCCATATTAGCAAATAGGGGTGTAAATTTGACCTGGCCCAATCCATGTTGGGTTTCGCGGGCTTCAGCCAAAATTCGGATCGGGCCAAGGGTCAGAAAATTAGGCCCAAGCCCAGGGGTATTCGGTCCCGTAGATTGGACGGGCTTGAATAATTTTTTTGTTTTTTATTTTTATTTTTTCTATCAAAATTTTATTATTTTCTATTAAAAAAGGCATTGGGCCTCGGGTGGGTTTTGAGTGGGTCTTAAGCAGGCTGGGCTTCAAAATTATGGCCCAGGCCTAGGCCCAGGGTCACGAGTTGGGCTTGGGCCCGACCCATAAGCCGCAGGCAGACTTCGGGCTGCCTAGAGGCCACGAGACATTTTTACACTCCTATTAGCAAAGATGGTATCACAAACTTATAAAATTTAAGAAGACAGAGAAAGATGCATAGAAGGGAATAGATGATTTGGATTGCATTATATATATATATATGTATAATATTTTTAATCTTAACAGGAGAAAGATTTTGGAAGGTTGCTATGAGTAAATTACACTCTGTCCCTTTTATGTTTGAGCATTTTTTTAGTGTGGCCCTTCAAGTTTGTTTTTTCCTACTTTTGCCCATCATGTTTCAAATTATTCACAATTTACTTCTAAATCTTATTTTTGGTTCAAAATTAGACAAAAAATGTCATGTTAACTATCACATAATTTAAAAATATATTATCATATTGGAGTTTGAGTTTGTGTAAAATGTGTTAATAAAATATTTTTATGCCATATGACTTTCAATCTATCATTTTTTTGGACACAGGTTAAATTTTAGTGAAAATTGAGAAAATTTTGAAACATGAAGAATCAAAGTGAGAAAAAATAAACTTAAAAAACCAAAGTGAAAAAATGGATAAACATAAAGGGACAAAGTATAATTTACTCTTAAAAAATATGCAATAAGTATGATTTTACAAATAAACTGTTATTTTTTTAAGATAATGTTATCCAATCTCATGAATTTGATATATATTTTTTTTATATGAATAAAATACTCAGAAAAAAAATTAAAAGATAAAATGTTCAGATTATCAAGGTAGACTTTGAATAAATCTGCATCCCTTTAATTGGATCCTTCAATCCAATTTTTGAACTGGACGGAAGCTTCATCTAAGATTTTGGGTAAATAACAAATATACCTCTGAGGTTTAAAGTATAGGTTGTTTTTTGTGATTTGAAAAATTACGAATACTTCTTTATCATAATTTTTTATTTAACAGAATTAATTAAAAAAATGAAATTCATAATTGCTCTTCTATACAATAATAAAATTATCTAAATTAATTGAAACATATTTCTAATATCATTAAAAATTATTAATTTGCTTCATGATTTATTAATAAAAGGACAATTTGTTATAAAATTAGAAACCTCAAAAGTGAAATATAATTTCCAGAATAAAAAAATAATTCATATTTTAATCAAATCAGGGTTGTATTTGTAATTTATCTAATTTTCCATCAATCTTGAATACTCGTTGCCCTTTTCATCAACTTTTACTTTTATTTTTGTTATTTTTTATGTTCAGCTTAGCTTACTCGTTTTCCTTTTCATACTATTCAATTAACAATTTTACATTAAAATAAATAAATAAATAACATTGTGGCCACACACTTTTATATATACATATTTCTATGTTCACACACTACATGTTGAATTCAAGAACCTTGGAGGAAACTTCCCTTTCCATCACCACATGATATAAATAAAGACCCTTATGTGCAGTATTATATATAAAGACATAAGAGAGGCCTCTGATCTTACAATCTCTTATCAAACAATCTGATCAATCTCTCACACCCTCTTTCACCTTCAATATACTTCACCCATCAAATTCAAACATGAAGCAACAAAGCAACTCCATTTTCATTTTGGGGTCCATTCTCATTTTGCTTCTTTTCTGGCAAACAACATCAGTAAAAGCTCAAGAAGTTGGTAATGGCCTACACATATATATGTGCTTGATTGTTTTCAATTCATTTGATTTTTGTTCCTTAGCAATATGTATTGTTGGTTTTGATGTATTCAATGTGTGAATCGAATGGTGCAGAGGATGAGAAAGAGTTTGATTATGCCAAAGGAAGCGAAAAGGGTCCGGAGCGATGGGGAGAGATAAAGGAAGAATGGGCAGCTTGTAACCATGGAGAAATGCAGTCTCCAATCGATATGGTGAATAGGAGGGTGAAAATAATCAGAAAATCAAGGGAGTTAGTGAGTAATTACAAGCCTTCCAATGCAACTGTCAAGAACAGAGGCCATGATATATCGGTGAGGAAGACATTGTAAACCCCCCACCCCAACCATAGTTTTAAATATGAGCCCTCCAATGCAATTGATCTTCATTTGTTGACAGAAGACATGAATTCTTGTTTTTGTTACACGGGTTGTTTTTGTTACACGGGTTGTTACACGGGTTGTTGCTAGCAGTCACATTTTTTTATATTTATACTAAATTTCATGTCCATATATGTAGGTTCAATGGACTGTTGGTGAAGCTGGATCAATTAAGATCAATGGCACTGAGTACCAACTCCAACAAGGCCACTGGCACTCCCCTTCAGAGCACTCCATCAATGGCAGAAGGTCTCTCTCTCTCTTTCTCTCTCTCTCTCTCTCTCTCTCTCTCTCTCATAGTAGTATTTTAGTATGTATCAATAACTAAGGAAGGGTACAATTAATGTTTGTGAATAATAATAATAATAATAGGTATGCCATGGAACTGCACTTGGTCCATGTAAGCCCACAAGAGAACGGAGAGGATAAGATTGCTGTTATTGGGGTCCTCTACAGGATTGGTCGACCTGACTCTTTTCTCTCTCAGGTAATCATCTTCATTATCAAACCTCACAAACATGGGCAAAGCATGATGTCAAATGACAATCTTTTCTTTCTCTTTTTTTTTCCCTTAAACTTTGACTACTTCGTCAAATTTCACGCATTATATCAACTATGAAAATCTTGTAAGTTTGTCAGGTAATGTTAGAAATAACAAATTTTCTACCAAATAAATAATCAAATGTCTCAAATGGTTGTGAATCCACAAAACACACAAATGTGAAACATTTAGTCATTTATTTGATAAAAAATTTGGAACTTTATAGCATTTTCCTTCAACAATGACATTCATTAAACCTTGTCCTTATTTTGGCCTTAATTAATTTCTAGGTGACATTTTTTGAAAAAATTGGTTAGGTTTGGTCATGTTTCTTAAACTAGGAATAGATCCTTCTGTACATTGCCCACCCAGTTTATCAAAGCAACCAACTATATTCATTGGTTGGACTTGGTCATGTTTCTTACACCACTTTACTTTGTATTGATTAATTTTTTTTTATTTAAAAAATAGGACAAGTTATATTGATAGTCCTTGTATTTTTGTTTCTTATGTCATTTTGGTCTCTATACTTTCAATTAATCCAATTTTGATCTTTAATTTTAGATTTTGTGTCAATTTGATCCAATTGATAATGCCATTAGTACTTTTGATAGAAAATTATCACTGAATTGGTTGAAATTAACTCACTGACTTGAGTAAATTTATAATTTTGCCCTTAAAAATATCACAAATATCACTTACGTGCATATTTTCCATTAAAAAAAGATAAAAATTACTAAGAGTTGTTATCAATTGAACCAAATCAAAATAAGTCATAAATTCAAAGTTAAAATCAAGCCATTTGAAATTATAGTGACTACCGTCATAATTTGCCCCAAAAAATCATGTATAATTTAGATTCTAAGTCTTATATAATTTTATTTCTTTTTTCTTTTTTTGGTTTCTAATGGGTTGTGTTAACTTTGATTTTCAGTTGATGAGGAATATATCAGATATGATTGATAAGAAGGAAGAGAGACACTCTGGGGTGATTGATCCAAGAGAAATTAAAATGGGTGGCAAAAGATATTACAGATACATGGGATCACTCACTGTTCCTCCTTGCACTGAAGGTGTTGTTTGGACCATTAATAAGAAGGTAAGGCATCTCATTAACCGTTGAAGTTCCTAACTAGCCATAAGCTTTTACCTGGTCATTTTCTCTGTCAAAGCATGTACAATGACATCTTTAACCTAAATTTCAATTATTTTGAATTAGGTGATGACTGTTTCAAGAGAACAAGTGAAGTTACTCAGAGAGGCTGTTCATGATGTAAGTAGTTACAACTATGTTACTTGTAATTTACACAATAGTCGCATCCTCTCTTTCTATTGTACAAGTTTTTGTGCTAGTAAACTCTTTTAAGAATTTTGTAAACGAATGTTCTAAACAAACTTAGTAGCAAAATGTTTGAAATTGTTTTATATTTTTTTCACAATAGTATGTGCAATAAAAACGTACAATCATTTTAAATTTCATTAACAAAGGCTTTTTTGTTCACTCGTTAACTACACAATTTTTTCCCCAAAATATCTAATTAAACTTTGCAAATAATTACTTCATTACTGAAAAAAAAAAAAAAAAAAAAACTATACATTTCAATAACATATTTTGAAAATATCTCAAAAATGAAGTATAGGTTATAGATTCAAATTTTGTGTAATGTGGAATACATTCAAAATAAATCGGATCCAAACATTTTATTTTCAAATTACTTCTTTGTTGATTTAATTTATGATATATAGATTGTAATAAGTAATTATTGCTTAAACTTGCTATGATTATGTTTCATGTCAGTAGTTCAAAATTAATGAAGGCATTGACATATATTTCATGATTGATTTCATTTGCAGTATGCAGAGGAAAATGCAAGACCACTACAACCACTCCACGATCGAGAGATCTACCTCTATAAGCGCCCATAGTTTCTAATAGAGAGCATAAATACAAGTAATTGATGAAGACAGAGAGTTATTAATACACATTATTGTTAACATCCACCTTTCATTTGTTATTATTACTTTTTATTTTTATATTTCTAGCTGGAGGGCATGAATACATAGAACAAGACTCGAATGGACATTTTTTTGTGAACTCTATCCATGTATTATCATTCTTTCTCATTTTAATAAAAACATTTTGGTGCTTTATTTAGCCGTGTTATCCAACTTGTGCTATTAACCATATTTACATTACAGATTTAGTGGGCATTAACAAAAAATTAAGTTTAGATATGCCTTTGCATAACAAATCGAGTTTCAACAAGCCAAATCCTATTGTAATTTTCTGCTGATACTATACCAATATGATAAAAGTCACTAATTCGGCCCCCTATTTTGTGGCACTTACTAGTTAGTTTTTCGAAAAATGTTTGTTTGGCAACGTTTTAATTGATTAAGCTCTAGTCTTATAACTAAAGAGATATGATAAAAAGAATTTATTTTTTATTTTTTTGTTTTTTTGTGAAGAAGGCAATTCCCAGTCTAACGTTAGCATTGCTTGTTCTAAAATATTGAATAGAAAAGAAAAAAAAAAAGTATTAAACTTAGGCCGAGATCAACCATTTATTTTTAAAGAAATGAGTTTGGTTGAATTTTTGGACTAGGAACTAATTGCCCTTCAGTTATCTTAAAAATGTAGGGACCAATCGAGATAAAGATTACAACTCATCTAATGGCAGAGAAATGAAGGGCAGGAGGAAGCATATGTGACCATCTTATAATCACTTCAAAATACTCGATTTTGTAATGAGGATTTTTTTTAAAGATCCTTAATATTAAGATTTTATAAGATAAATGACATACAATACTTTCAAAGTAGTTAAGATTCTTTAATATTTTCATAGAGAAAATTCGACTCAGAGAAATTTTTTCCCAACTTAAAGAAATTTTGCAATTTGCAAGCCAACTTGCAAGCAAGTTGCCATGGCCAAGTTGCCAAATTGTCCCCAAAATTGTGTATCAATAGGGGTTCAAGAAGGGAACAAATCATCAAGTGAGTGAGAAGCAAGAGCAAGCAAGTAAAGAGCATGAAGCCTTCACCAAGAGTGTTAGAAAGAAAGTGAGGTAAGGTTTGGAGAGAGACAAAGCCTTATAATTTCTTTATTCAGTTTAGTGAAAATTTCGCTGCCGTAGACTTAGGCGATATGCCGAACCACGTAAATCTTTGTGTATTCTTTGTTTGGTTTCTTGTTTGTGTTTGTTTGTGGGCCTTGGGCACAACAAATTGATATCAAAGAACCCAGGTTGTGAAAAAATTGCTCCAAAGCTCTGTTTTTTAAATCTGTCATGAAACCAACTTTGTCCAACAAAACTTTTGAATACACCAATTGACAAACTCAATGCACAGTTAGCAGAAGAGTTCGAAATGAAGGATCTTGGAGAAGGAAAGAAAATTCTTGGTACGAAGATCAAGAGAGATTGGAAAAAGGGTACAGTTTGTCTGACACAAAATTAGTATTTGAAAAAGGTATTAGATAAATTTGGCATAAATGGGAAAACAAAAGTTATGAGTACATCGTTGGCCCATTATTTCAAGCTTCGTGTTTCGATGTCTTAGAACACAAAAAAGGAGCTCAAGCATATGGCTCAAATTCCATATGCCAATGCAGTTTGTGCATTGATGTATACTATGGTGTGTACAAGGCCTGAAATCTCACATGCTGTTAGTATGGTGAATAAGTATATGCATGATCTACGAAAAGGTCACTGGCAAGCAGTGAAATGGATCCTAAGGTATATACATGGCACAATTGATTTGGGATTGAAGTTCTAGAGAGATTGCAGGCCCAGACAAAATCTGATTGGATATGTGGACTCAAATTATGCTAGTGACTTGGACAAATGCTGGTCGACAACAAGGTATTTGTTTACCTTGCTAAAGAACCTGTAAGTTAGAGGTCAATGCTTCAGCCAACAATGACTTTGTTTATTACAGAGGCAGAGTACATGGCAATAACAGAAAACATTCAAAGAAGCCATTTGGTTACATAGATTGGTTGAGGACTTGAAGATTGTACAGGAGCACGTGGAGGTTTATTGTGATAGCTAGAGTGTCATTTGTTTAGCAAAAAACCAAGTCCATCATTCCCGCATCAAGTATATTGATGTCTAATTCCACTTCGTCTGAGAAATAGTAAATGAAGGGGTTGTTTTGCTTCAGAAGATTGGTACTATAGATAATCCTGTAGACATGCTCACTAAGGTGGTATCCGGGATCAAGTTCAAACACTTCTTGGACTTCACCAATATCTCTTGACAGTAAGTACCTTAAGGTACAATGCAGTGGCCACTAAAGTTGAATGGAGAATCCTCACCAAGGTAGAGATTTGTCGAATAGAGTTAACTCAGTTGTTTAACACATTGAGTTAACTCAGTGAGTTGGTTCAGATTCTAGAAGAGCAAGTGGGCAAGTTGTATATTCTAGAAGCTTGCTAACTTCCTTGCATAGATTTTGGAAAGCCAACTTGCAAGCCAACTTGCAAGCAAGTTACCATGGCCAAGTTACCAAATTATCCCCAAAACTTTGTGCATAAATAGGGGTTTAAGGAGGGAACAAATCATCAAGTGAGTGAGAAGCAAGGGCCTTGGGCAAAACAGGAACAACGAAGGCGATGAACATGGAGGAAGAATTGAAATGCCATTGAGAGATCTCTACACTTAGACTACTGAAATCAAAATGATGTTCCCAAATCCTAGTCTGTTGGACCTATTTGCTTGGCTGAGCTACCATAGGTCGAACTCGAACCTCTCTGGAAACCACCGTGGGTGCAATGGCTGCACCAAAAGCTAGCTTAGGGATGCTTTGTTCTCTGCATTGCATTTGGGTCTGAAGCCGAGATATCATCGGAACAGTTCAATGAGATCAAAACTAGGTTGGAAAAATCAAAAGTGAATTTTTTGTGGTTGGGAGGAGGAATGAATTAGAACTTGGTGATGGGTTCGAAGAGAAAGTAAAAAAGAGTGGAATGGTGGTGACAGAGTGGGTGAACCAAAGAGAGCTACTAGAGCACGAGAGCGTTCAAGGGTTTCTAGTTCACTATGGTTGGAACTTAGTGTTTGAGAGTATATACGTGGAGGTTTCGATACTGAGGTGGCCAATGATGAAGGAGTAACACCTGAATACGAGGATGGTGGTGGAGGATATGAATGTGAAGTTGAGGGTGGAGACATGGAATGGGTCGATAAGAGAGTTTGTGAAGTGGGAAGTCTTGAAGAAGATGGTGAACGAGTTAATACTATGGAAGATGAGGAAGAAGGTAAAGGAGGTAGGTAACACTGTCGTGGAGTGGCGGATTTTAATTTTTTGTTGATGAACTTGAATGCGATTCTTACTCTGAATTTGGAATTGGATTCAGATTTGGGTTTGGATTGGAGATCATGATCAAAGTAGAAAAAGGGAAAGAAAGGAAGAGAGGAGAGAGAGAGAGAGAGAGAGAGAAAAAAGGAGAAGATGAGGAAAGAGTGGCCTTGGTAAAGAAGGGTGATTATTCAGTATTCTTGAAAAATTTGAACCGATATATTATATATATTATAGAGAAGATAGAGTAGGAGATGGTGTTTGATATAAAGAGTTCAACAAACACATGTTGTTAGGGCTGAAGGCAAGGGAATCCGTAAAATCCGAAATCGATCCGGTCCAGTCCAATTCCGGATAGGTTTGATTGGTCTTTTTGAATCCGTGGTTCGGTCCGGATTGAAAATTTCAAAATCCGATAGACCACGGATCGGTTTCCGGATTGAACCTCACGGTTCCGGATTTGGAAACCGATCCAGACCATCTAGAAATAACCTATATTTTTATACTATATGCCTTCCCACACATATAAATTTCTTATATGATATAAAAACTAAAAATGTAACCTAACCTAAATCCAGCGGCCTCACTCATTCCATTCATGCTCTCACTTTCTCATCTCAGGGTCTTATATTCGATGGGTGTTCTCTTTCTCTTCTCTTTCCCATCTCAGACTGAGTTCTCTCTCAGACTACTCACACCTCTCATCCAATCCTCATTCAGATCGGTGTGCTACTTGCTCGCCTCTCTCTCTCTCTCTCTCTCTCTCTCTCTCGGTGTTCTCATCTCTCATCTCTCTGCTACTTTCTCTCGGACGGTGGACTATTTTTGTTCATTTGTATGCTTGTGTTGTTTTTTTATAATTTGTTGCTTGGATTATGCTCATATCAGTGGTATTGCTTGCTGTCAGGTACATCTTGTTCTATGTTTTTATTTTATTTTTTTATTTTTATGATCTGATTTGGTTGTTTATCAATTGTGTAGTATTGCATGTGGGATTTAAAAAATAAAAAAGTAAAAATAACTTTGAGCTTGGTATGATGGTGCTCAGTGAGAGATTATTGGGATCTGGATGTATTACTGAGTTTTTCATGTTCTTGATTTGCATATGATCTGTATTTAAGTTGGGGCTTGCTAGAGTAGGTTAAATTGTGTAGTTTTTTTGGATCTGGGTTTTTGTTGGTTTCTCATTTTTGTTCTTTTGTTACTTAATATGTTTGCTTGAATGAATTCTTAAGACTGTCATTGGATCTTCTAAATTTCATTTCTTAGTTCTCTGATTCCCTGTTGCTTTTGTTATATATTTTTGCAGTTAAGGTCAAGGTTTGAAGTATTGTTCAAATTTTAGAATATATAATTCGATTTATTTTGGAAGCCTTCAACAGCAGAATGAAATGTAAGTTCTAAGCCATCTTTTCGGAAATCTGTATGAAACAAGGTCAATTGGGTTTTTATTTTAGTTTATTATTATTATTTTTCATATCCTTTTAAATAATGTTATACCTACTTTTTATTCATTGTATAAAATTCTATTAAATTTACCTCTTTTTTTTTTAATTATATCATATTGCTATTCTAAGCTTACTTTAGTGTTTTTGATAGGATTTGTTTCTATACTCTCTTACATTTAGGATTAATGATACGAGTATTGATTACCCTTTTATTGCATCTCAGGTTGTGTTATTTTTTAGAATGTAATTCAAATTTGGATTGAATATCGTGTCCAACCCAATAAACTTGCTCTTTGTCAGAAATCTGGACTAATGAATAGATGGTTAGCATTGGCCAAGTTTCATATGTTCTTGACTTCATGTTTCATGTGAACTTCTTGTTGTTTTTATTAATTTGTACTAGCTTGTGTGTTTTTATTAATTTGTATGCTTGTGTGTTTTTATTCCAAGGGCTTTTGTCCATTGCAGAAGAGACTTTAACAAGTTTCTTTCAAAGACTGGAACCGCTGTAGAGTGGGTCCAAATGCCTGGAATGAAGGTATGGCTGTAACTTTGGAATAATATACGATCTTTTATTTAATACCTTGCATTATTTATTTATGTATTTCAAACAATTAATCAGTATTGGTTGAATTGAGAGGTAAAAATAATTAAAATTGATCTTTCATGTCAGTAAAGTACAAAACACAGTGATAACCTGTTGAGACACCAGCTGTTGGGAAATGTATCACTGTGTTGGAAATGATAACATTCGATAGCTATAGCTATTTAGAATGAAAATGTAATTGTCTTATTTTTTTTTTGTATTAATTATTAAAATCCGTGGCTCCAAACCGATTCCAATCCGTGTGTTCAAACGGATTGGTTCGGATTGGTTCCACAATTTAAACGAGTTGGATTGGTTCCAATTTTCTCAAAAACCGTTAGATAGCGGATTGTCCTGGTTTTCTCCCAACATGACCATCTGGTCCATGCTCACCCCTACCATGTGTTGATCATGGGCAGCTTGGTCTTTTCATTAAAACATGTCCTTATGAATATAGTATTTTGGGCGTGCATTTTTGGACCAAAAAAATCTAAATTTGGATTTATGATCTGAGTACCTAAATTTATTCGCATGTCCCTCATATATATATATATATATATTTGTTATTTTTTAATAAATTCCCTTTCCAAGTGTTTTTGTTTTGTTTTGTTTTTGTTTTTGTTTTTTTGTTTTTTTTGTTTTTTTTAATCATATTTGGTATATTTATCATATCTAATTTATTGAAATAAGGGTCATGTTAATGTGTGTACTTAGGGCACATGCTAACAAAATCGTTCAAATAATTAGGTATTCTGGATTTATTTAAGACAACAATTTGAAGAAAGCGACATATTTTGGAGAAATGAGAGAATAACATGTATTGTTAACATTGATTTGTTCTGGATCAATGTTGAAATTGAAAAAAAATCAAAAAGAAAAGGTCAGAAGTTCAATCCACACATAGAGGATATTTGAAAACAGTTCAGGATGCTAATAAAAAAACTCAGTATAATTTGGTGCAGTTTTTCAAACTAGGGAAAATAATGGTTCCAAAAGAACACTTCCCACGATCATGAATCAGGAAAAGTGTGTTTCATATCCTTTAGACAAATTGGGAACAAAGACAGAGAGAGCCACCTGGAAATACTCCAGCAAATCCATCAGCCTGCTAAATCAACTCATCGACAGGGAGGGCCGCAACGGATGCATCCTTGTCTTGGCCAAGCAATGCAGAAGATGGATACATGTTTGTTCCCATTCCCAGCCGCCGACCAGTTTCCTTGCCAATTGCAAGCTGATCACCTAAAAAGGTTGGACCCAAAAAAAAAAAATAAGCAATGAAAAATCAGTTAAGACAATAGTGTATGCACGGTATTATTACCAGTAATCATCTTTACATTCACTCCAAGATTGAGAGCTCTTTTGATGGTGTCTGCACCATCATGCCTAGGTGGATCAAATAAAGGCAATCAACCAACAAACTGCCACGGTGCCCCTGGACTTTCTTTTGTCTTCTCAGGTACTTCCTGCAAATAAATAATATAAGCCAAATTTAACAATTAAGATTGTTCCAATGAATCAGAAAGAGTAAAAATGTGAGTCTGCAAACCTGTCTAGCAACTGCTAAAGATCGAAGTCCATGTTCAGCAAACTTTTCAATCACAGAGTGAACCTTCTTTCTGACATCCTCTTTGCAGTTGCAAAGGGCTAATATCTATTTGTTAAGAATAAGAAACAAGAAGTAAGTTACTACTTGTGATGGTTCTAGAAGTTTTTTCAACTAACAAAAATCAACAAACAAGTAATCATAAACGAAGAATACAAAAATTTGTACTTACAGTCCCAGATCTGATAATTTCTTTGTATCTTTCAGTCTTCCAATCCTACAGATTGATAACCCTAAAACAATCAACACAACCACCTAACTGATGATACAGATTATAAATCTTTTCAATTCCACGAAATTAGCACAAAGATCGTGCACTAGTATAGAAACTCAAAAGGTATGGAACCTTTTCTTACAATCTGCCAGGTTGCTTAAAAATATACAATGAGGGAAAAACCATATGACCGATTTGCATCGTAAATGTCCCTTGATTTGCCCTCTAGAAACAAAAACTCAACTAAAGTTTAGCAAAGAAGGTTATTTGGATAAGTAATCTCCATTTATAAAATAAATAAATAAATAAATAAATAAATAAATAAAAATAAAAATAAATCATGGAAGCTTTCTTGTTTTCCAATTTCCTCAGTATTTTCTCGGCAGCCAAACGCATGCCTAATTCTCAGTATTTTCTCAGTATTTTCAATTTCTCCAGTTTTTATTTGCACATCTAAAGGGGAACCAAATTGATAAATGGTTATATATAATATTTATACATATATAATATTTATATACATACATCCAATTTCCTCACTCTATATTTATATATAATATTTATACATATATAATATTAATATACATCCATCCATCCATCCACACATATTTATTTATACATGAATCCTGTAGACTAAAAGTTTGTCATCCATAGTTATTCTGATCTATTTCATTTCAAGTGCCCAAGAGAGGAAGACTAACCTTCAGACAGCGTTGATCTTGCACAACCTGTTTAGCACAGGCCCTAACCTCATCTGGATCAATCTTGGATTGAGATCTAGAGAGAGAGAGAGAGAGACGGTGGAGCTCGCTACCTCTTCGGTGCAGATGACGGTGGCGACGGAGCATCGAAATCGCCCTGAATCTCGAAATTGATCTGAATCTTCAAAAACGCTCTGAACAGCCGATTGATATCGATCTGAATCTTCGAAATCGCTCTGAACAGTCGATTCATCTTTTGAGAGACGAAGCTTCTTCGTAGAGTTATCTCCTCCATCTTCTTCGTCGCTGTGAGAGAGAGAGAGAGATGTCTGCGTACAAGATAAGAGAGGTGTGCGTATAAGAGAGAGGGCTCAGATTAGAAAATAAGGTTTTCAGAAAAGGGGCGCGTGTATCTACCGCATTTGGAGGCGGTTTTAGACGCCTTTAAATAGAAAACGGTGCCGTTTTGGTTAAAAAATTTGCGACGGTTGTAAAACGCCGTTAAAGATTAAAAAAAGTGACGTTTAATTAAACGCCGCTAATTGAACGCCGCAAAAGCCCTGATTTCCTGTAGTGACAAGTATGTGATAGCTGGCAAAGGGTTTAGTTCAATTGAAATTATCCAACCCTTCGCCAATAATTTATATTAGTACTAGACAAGTCTAGCTAGTGCTGGTAGTCATACCCTTCGCCAATAATTTATATTAGTACTAGACAAGTCTAAGCTAGTGCTGGTAGTCATCAAGAATAAAAGTGCTGGCAAAGAATATGCTTAAAACTCCTACTGATGATTGATTAACGTAAATAAAAAAAGCTTTTGGGTCCCCAGAAAGATCATATCCGAAATGTAATCTTCATCCACGTGCATCATATCTAAGAAAACAATTTGATATATTATTTGTGATCATCACTTTTTTTTTTTTTTTTATCATGAAAAAAGGGGATCTGAGGTGTCATCACGCCCCCTGTGGGTCCTAATCCCGGGGTAACCGGTTGTCAGTTAGGAATTAACTCCCACCATGTGGGGGACCCACCACCAGGGCACTGTATGGAGCTCACCTACGCGCTGCAGACCACCGAGGGTTCTAACCGGAGTACAACATTATCACTTCTTTCAAACACTCAAATTTTGTTCATATATACTTTAGAGCTCTGGCTATTAATATCAATTAATTTTGAGTAAAAAGTTTTCAATGGTGTGTGTTTCTCTCATGTGTAATCTTTTGAGAGACTTACACGTACGTTTTAATATCTGAAAAATATTTTCTAATAAGTTTTATGATAATTAATAGAATTTTTTGTCAAATATTATTAAAAAAGTCAGTAATTGTTAATTTTCAACGACAACTTAAAAATTTTGTTACAAAAAATATCACTAATTATAAATTTTAGTGACAGTAAAAAAAAAAAATATTCACAAATTTTTTTACTAATTTTCATATTTCAACGACGGTTTAAAAAATTCGTCACAAAGAGTTACTAATTATAAGTTTTGACGACAATTTATAAAACTCGTGATAAAAAAATAACTAATTGTTAATTTTTGACAACATATGCAAAAATTTTCAAAAAAAAAAATATTTTTAATGACAATTTTATTACGACTTATTTTTAATAAAATTTGATCAAAAACAATCTAAATATTAGGAGCTATTAATAATTTATCCTAATCTTTTATCATATTCAGATGTGGCCAGAATCACACGTTCAATAGTGTTCTAGATTTATTCTGTACCATTTTTCTATCTCACTCAAGTTTAGCTCATATAATATAAGTGATAATTCCAATAACTCTTAACACTTAAAATAATATTTAAAATGTAGAAGAACAATAAGAAGGGCTGGTTTTCCTTTAGTCCGTAATTAGATTAAAGAATATTGTTGGGTTTGTGACTGTTCATTATGGATCCTATTTCAATAATTTGAATTATTAATTTGTAGAACTCATCGAGTACTATATGTCTATTAAAAATTACATTGATCGGATATCAATAGTTACATGATCAAATCAGTTTTGTATATAAAAAAAAGACAGATTTTACACATTGAACGGTTCGGATTATCCGATCAACGTGATTTTTTACAGGCATATAATACTCGACAAGTTTTACACGTTGAACGATTCGGATTATCAAAACGATACCTGTGGTGGGTTCTCACGGGTCTAACAGTACCCTCCAATCTGATCACGGACTGGAGGGAAGCCCAACCCCAATAAGAAACTGTAAATAAGTTGATAAATAAGCTACAAACTACTAAAAAAATGGTAAATCAATGTGAAAAAGTTCAACATAATTGTTAAAAATTCAAGATATATTTTTTTTGTTTTTGATGATAATCATTTCTGAGAAGGTGAATGTCTTATGTTTTAGAGTTTTTTAAAAGTGTACCCTCTCCCTGTTCTATTGATTCGTTTTCCTAATGTATCACAATATATGAGCCTTTAGGAGGTTCAAAGTAAACGAGACGATATGGACGGGTGGTTGAGATCAGTCGGATAGACCCACTTTCACTCAGTTATACTCCTAAACGAATGAACAAAGTTTGATTTACTCTAAGTCCGGATTTGGTTTTCTTCCTAAGCTAAAAAATCACAAAAGAATAAAAAAAAGTCAAAAATTACAGAAGAACAAAAAAGTTTGTCATTCCAAAGTTAAAAAGCCAAATAAAAAAATCAAACAAATAAAAAAGTCTCAAGTTAAAAAAGTTAAAAAAGTCAAAAAATTAACTAAAAAAGTCATTACCAAATGACTTCTTAAAAAATAAGCAATAAGTATGATTTAAAAAAGGGAGCTTTTTTGATAAGTCCTCTTGCTAAGAGTTTTATTCCATCTAATTTATATTCTTTTTCACTATTCCATTAGATCCTATTTAAGTTAAGAAGACCAAAACACCCCCAATCTCTCTTGCCCCCTATTAATGTTGATATTTAATGTTGATTGTCATTATATTTTGATAGTTCACATGCATCAGGATGTTGACTGTCATTATATTCATATTAATTTGAAATGAATTTTTATTATTGTGTTGTCAATTATATCATGTGAATATTCACATTATGAAATTGAAATAAATATTCACATCATTATATTCACATTAATTTGAAATAAATTTTCTCATTGTGTTGTCAATTACATGATGTGAATATTCATACTAAAACATACGAATGTAAATGTTTATATCACTACATTAGATGAGAGAGAATATTCACATGTTGTGAACGTTCATACAACTACATGTTGTAAAGAAGAATGTGTTGTCAATTAAAAATATAACATGTTGTGAACGTTCACATCACTACATTCGATGACAGAGAATTTTTTGAAAAGTTGTTGTGAATGTTCATATCAGATGAGAGAATGTTCACATTATTTTTAATTTATTGTCAATTAAAAATAAGAAGGTTCACATGTTGTGAACGTTCACATCACATCACTACATTAGATGAGAGAGAATTTTTCAGAAAGGAATTGTGAACGTTCACATCCTGAGAGAGAATGTTCACATTATTTTTAATGTTATTAATTAAAAATATATTCACATTATATAATAATATAAAATAATAACATCAATGTTATTTAATTTATGTATGAAATTTCCTATGCCTTGGTTTTTCCCTTTCTCTCTCCTTCCCCAACATTAAATATAAGGGCATAAGAGTTTAAGAAAATAGTATAAATCAAGAAAAATGACTTTGTGGAATAAAAGTATAAATACATGGAACTAAGTGGATTAAAAAATTCATTCATAGACTTCTTGTGTTAGAACACTTCTAAATCAGATTTATCGATTAAAATCTCTTTTGAAAATAAACTGTTATTTTTTTAAGATAATGTTATCCAATCTCACGAATTTGATTTTTTTTATATGAATAAAATACTTGAAAAACATTAAAAGATAAATTATTCAGATTATCAAGTGGACTCCGAATAAATCTGCATCTCTTTAATTGGATCCTTTAATCCAATTTCTGAACTGGATGGAAGCTTCATCTAAGATTTTGGGTAACTTACAAATATACCATCAAGATTTACTTAAAGTACAGAT